TGTGCCCAAGGGCTGGGGACGCCCGAGCGCAGCGCACCAGTGCGTGTCGCACACCTGGGGCCAGCGCCTCCAGTGCACCACATGCCAGGCCGGCCCAGGTTGTCGGTGGGCGCACACAAATGCCCCGGCGGGTGCCATGGCGCCCGCGGGCACAGCGTTGGGAACCACTGCTCTATAAAATATTCAGGATTTTCAGTTTCTGGTGTTTGTTGGTTCCAATTATCAGTATTTATGGTTAGATAAATTATGGCTTTTTAAAAAGTAAAATGATAGGATATGTTTAAAATCACTGTTTTAAAAAATTATTCGGAGACTTTTCTTAATACCTAGGGATGAGTCCTCAGTGAAGGTCTTTCTGAAAAGAGTCTGAGTGTACATACACTATTGTAATTTTAGAGTATTTTCAGTTACTTTTTTATAGAAACCCACTAGTTTCCTCAAATATTTGATCGGCTGGGAACTTTATTGATTTTATTCAGTTGTATACTAAAACCAGGAAACCCAAGTATATTTTCAGAGCTTAGTATAATCCAGTTTTAAAAAGAACAAAGCTTCTATATGAAGCATTCTCCCTGAAGTAGTCTCATCTGCCTGGAGTAAATTGTCCCTTTCAAGGGAGGTCTCCACTGCTGATTTACCCAGCCTATACTGGGTGGCTGTGTCTAGACTGGCAAATTTTTCCGCAAAAGCAGCTGCTTTTGTGGAAAAACTTGCCAGCTGTCTACACTGGCCACTTGTATTTCCGCAAGAACGCTGACTTCCTACTGTCTGAAATCAGTGCTTCTTGCGGAAATACTATGCTGCTCCCGTTCGGTCAAAAGTCCTTTTGTGCAAAGCTTTTGCGCAAAAGGGCCAGTGTAGACAGCTCAGATTTGTTTTGCGCAAAAAAGCCCCGATTGCGAAAATGGAGATCGGGGATTTTTTGTGCAAAAGCGCGTCTAGAATGGCACGGACACTTTTCCGCAAAAAGTGCTTTCGCGGAAAAGCTTCCGTGCCAATCTAGACGCTCTTTTCCACAAATGCTTTTAATGGAAAACCTTTCCGTTAAAAGCATTTGCGGAATATCATGCCAGTCTAGACGTAGCTGGAGAGAGATTGCTCCCCATGCTCTTCCCATGCTCCCCCTGCTCAATCAGAGGCAATTTGAGTGGGGCATGGAGTCACATACTCCCACTCCCCAGATTTCTGCCTTCCATTTAGCACATCCACCTACCCCAAAGTTTGAAAACCACCACCTGCCACCAGGAATTGGCAGATCAGAAGCTGATCGGAGCTGCGCAGCCTACTCAGGCACTTGGCTTTCCATGCTAGGGAAAATGAGGTGTTAGCTGGCTGTCCTACTCCCTGAGCTTGTTTGCCTGTGCACAGCTGAGCGTTCACCAGGCAAGACAGGCAGCACAGCTCTATGCTGTGCCTTGAGGTTCTCTTGCCTCTCCCCTCAAAGAGCCCTCTGAGGTGCTTTCTTGTGACTGCTCGGGCTCCTCAGGAACAGCAAAAGATCCAAGAGTCCAAGATCAGCAGCAGCAAGCACCTCAGGCAGCAAATTGTGGCAGTCAGGCTCCACGGGCAGGGAGTTTCATTGGCCAGTGTGTCAGCAGGCTCTTTACAGCAGAAGCAAGAGCATGTCAAGGCACAGTTTGAAGGTGTGCTGCCCACTCTGCCTGAGGAGCACCCTGCTGTTCAGAGGCAGCCCAGTTTGGAGAGCAGGACAGGGATGACTGCTGGACATCCAGCCAGCACCCTGGCTCCTTCAATGTGGAGACAACAGGCTAATGCAGCTTCCAATCTGCCAGTTACTGGCAGGAGGTGACAATTTTCAAACTGTGGGGTATGGGAACATGCTAAATGGAAAGCGAAATCGGGGGAGGGGGGCATGCCACAGAGTTTGAAAATATCCGTGCTAAATGGGAGACAGAAATTGGGGAGGGGGAGGTCAGCACCCTGGCTCCTTCAATGTGGAGACAACAGGCTAATGCAGCTTCCAATCTGCCAGTTACTGGCAGGAGGTGACAATTTTCAAACTGTGGGGTATGGGAACATGCTAAATGGAAAGCGAAATCGGGGGAGGGGGGCATGCCACAGAGTTTGAAAATATCCGTGCTAAATGGGAGACAGAAATTGGGGAGGGGGAGGTATGGCCCCACAAGTTCCCTCACATGCCGGTTCTGCTTCCCTGGAGCACATTATCTTGCATGTCCCCTCGCCACGTCATCTCTGGTGCACATGTGACCCCGAGAGCTACCC